CTTTGAATTGGCATTTTTTCGCGATGAAAAATTCGTTGCGCTTAAATAAATAGATTTGACTGGTGATGACTAAGTTTTCAGTGATCTGAACACAAAACATATCCGTCGTAAAGTACGATCCAAGAATCTAAAATAAACTTGTAAGAAAAATTGGTAAGTGAACAATGAAACATACGTCAACAAGGGACTGAGAAATATGTTTTGAATTAAGACCCAAAGCAGCAACTTTAACAACGATGGCATCGATTTGTGAGTTAATAATTTCATCGAGTAACTTCGACTGATCCATTCCCCATAAATAACACAACACCTTCATGTTCAAACGATCACAAACATTCTCAACGCGTTTCTTCTGATAACTGCTTAATATTGCGCCTACCGAAACACCTGAATATACTCTTTGCATTGCTGTGGAAAAAAAACTCTTAATTCATCTTAATTCAACTGACGTGAATGCTGATTATCTTATGAGTAGAGGTGCAATGGAAAATGACCAAGAACGATTGCGATTGTCACCTTCAACGTCCGGATGCTTCAATCTGACATCAGCGAGCAACTCGTACAAATCCTCCACCTCGTCGTCATCTGTCGGCTTGTAGTCAGCGTCAACGTTCATCGGCTTTCCCTTTATTTCCCGTCGATACAAAGGCAATTCACATGCCTCACTATACAACTAAACCATTTGTCATTACCACAACCACAGTGTTTAGTCTCGCATTACTTTCATCACTCATTTAGAAATTCAGTACGTCGATTGATATGGACGTTGAGTTGAAGTAAATAAAGAGCATGTGAAAGGTGAATCTAATAACCAACTTGAACACCCATGTAAGCAACACTTTGATACATATAACTGTCGATTTCATCAGTTGAGTTCGACGATGGCGGATAAAGGTTGGCCAGGCAGATGATCTGGTGACCGTTTTGCAGACATTTCATCAAATTATAACAGCTGTCCTTTCCACCCGATACCAACCCAACAATCTTCATTACTTCCAGCTATGAATAGCTACTCTCGATACAATGTAACGAGAATTTACTTTTGGCTACCTGCAGCAATCAGATTATTCCGATCCGACGTTCGCTCATAAGGATATGACTCAATTTTTACAGCCAACCTGAGTTGTTGACCTAGGACTTAAACTTTCGTGGTTTAAAATCAGTGCAAGTGTGTGGCAGATCGTTATCAAGCAATTGCGGCGTGTCGCCATAAGGGCTGGACGATTTAGCCAATGAACTAGAAATCTGCTTTGCTACACACCCATTCACGACGGTGTTGTCCTAGTCCGTGAGGTATACACAGTGTCCTCAGGTATTAGATTAGTTAAGGGCTGACAGCTTGAAACGGTGAAACGATGAAACGATGAAATGGTTGAACGTTGACACGGTGCATGAATTGATTACGCATGAATATTCCCAACGATGAGCGATTATTTAGCGATCGTCGATACTGTTCCGGAAATAAATATTTGACATCTCCAGAACATTAGTACGCTCTGGTTTGATTGACTGATTTTTAGCGCCAGGAAATTGCCAGATGAAGATTAACCTGAAAGGCGACAACAATAAATGAAAATAAATCCCTAACTCAAAGACATGGCATTCCTCAAAACTTATTTAGTTGACAACGGTTCAATGGAAGGAAACAATTCATTAAATTGATGTCCAGAACAAAGCATTGTGCGATTGAAAAGTGAAATTGCACGTGATTAAGAGTTTCACGATGGCTGTTGATTGAAGGAATACAAAGTGATCAGCGAGGGAATGCTTTGAAGGCAAGGAAGGTGTATGAGCGATTAAAGCACGTCCGAAGAATGTGTAATTTTAGCAGAGTTTGTTTCAGTTCAACCAGTCATGCACAAATGATGGAGTTCCATCGTATTCCAAAAAAGTTAGACGTATAAAATACCAACGATATTGACTTCGAGCGTAAATCTCATGCGAACTTCTATCCCTAACATCGAAAATGATTGACATATCACTTATAAATCATCTTGATAAGATTTCTAGATTGCGCAATCTTCGGTCCTGACATTTTGAAATTGCCAATCAAGTTCATGAATGCATAAATCAAATAATTTCATTTACAATCCATCCTATTGATCTCCCTCTGAAACGGTGACCATTATCATTGTTTAGTACAATCCTTGAAATGTTGTACACACATTGTGACTGTGAGGCAAAATCATAGCAGATTCGTTGCTAGGCGACACTCTATTCATACTGAATACGTGTGATTGATTCGGTGCAGGGCCAACGAATACGCCGGTGAATTGTCAATGAGGAGGAACGTGCTTGATTGAACAGACAAGCCATATTTCCATATGATAATCTTCGATTATGCGATATTGTTGTGTTTATTTCTGTTTTATTCCATCATGACTTCTCAGAATAATGCTCAGTTGTTGTCATTTGGTAATCCTTTAGAATCCATCTTTCGAAACTGACCTAACTGACGGCTGACTTTTAAAATTCCCAGGTGAATCCCAAAAAACAATTTCTGAAAATCACTTTCCGACGTCATTTCCAAATTTGCAATTGAATCGTTTCTTCAACTATTCTCTGTGAAGCATCGTGATAATTTATAAGTTCGTATTCGAATGACAGAAATTCACCATGAAGTTCCCAATAAAGATGAATAAATTATAAAAATTATTGAAATAAAATACCAAATTTAAACCGAATCGAGCGCATTCGTCATGGGAATGAAGTGTTTTAAACCGACAGTTGCATCCGCTCTTCTGAGAGTAGATTTCAACACAATCGGAGTTTGAATGGGTGTATTCTTAGAAATGAAATGTCGTCAAAAAGCGAATGGGATGTACAATGCAATGTGATCTATCACATAAGGGAAGGCTTATTCGGGAGTGCATCAGTAATCTGCGATGAGTTCTTGCGAAGAAATCCGAATAACAGTGTTGTGAATTGGCTGAATGCTATCGCTCTCATCAAAATCGGTTATTTTTTGTCCTCCAACTACTTACTCTTAAAAAAATATAGAAATGATGACAATACTGAATTTTCACGAAAACTTTTCGATTTGCAAGAGAAAAAGCGAAGCAACTGAAACACTCATAAACCTACTCGAAGTTGCAGTAACTTTTTGGAATTAATAATATTGTCGAATAACATTATCACTGCGCCATATGAATCTCAACAGAAAATGAAAACGATCAACAAAGTAACTCTGTTCAATCAGAATAAAAACTTCTACTGACCGCCGAAGGTCATCAGAGTGTTAATCATACTTTGAAGTCTGAAATATTTTTCATTTGAAGGTAAGATAGCCGAAGCGATGAGAACTCTCGAAGAATTGCGTCGCGATAGCACAGTGGGATTTGCATCGCTGATTGGCCTCAGAACTGCTCATTCGATGGCCAAAAGACCGGGTGATTGCAAATATCGACGATTAATTGTCTACAATTGATTCGATTCTTTTGCGATGTCTTATTTGCATTGTGCAGTCAATAATTGTGCAATTAACATTTGCTGCAAATGATTTTCAGATAAGGAATCGATGAAAGAAATTGATAAAGAAGTCAATTCATTATGGAGTAATTCGAACGCAGATCAATGCACAAAAGCTGCGACTGTGATCATGCTATTCGATAACATCGACAAAGCAAGCTCACTCATCGAAAACGCATTCAATAAAGCGTCGGATAACGTTGAAGTGAGTAACATCTGCTTCGCACTTCACCACCTCTTAAACCATGTGAAATCATCTGAGACTCATTATTTGAATCGACTGCAATTGGCCGAAAATTCATCAACTTTTCATGTTGCATTGGATCAGTTGATCTGAATCCAGTGCTGAAATTAAGTCAACTTCTCAGCTCAACTTAACACCTCAGCATTCCTCACAAGTGAGCATTGATTGTATACGTGTAGGCGACAATCTTTCGATGGGAAAATATAGGAATTGGCATTCACGGAGTAATAGATCATAAAAGAGGCGCATCATTGTTTCAGCTGACTACTCTGAAAGGCTGGCTGGAACTGGAGAAGGGTCGTGATGCAAAACTCGCGCAGAAACTATTTGAAGGTGCTATCGCACAAGGTTTGAAGGAGACATTGACATTGCTCTTTAATTTTTCATGAAATTTGGACAGTGAGCCGATAAATGACCAAAATTGTGGATTATCATGCAGAAATAATCCATTGTGAAAAGACTGACAACAACCTAATTAATCTGCACTAATTCAACCAATCATCCTTTAACGTTCCTAAAACATGCGGTTAAGACACACACACATAATTATTTTCTCAACAAATTGAAAAAAGTTGTATCAACCTTNNGACTTGACAATGAAGAATCCAACATTTTTAGTCGGTAATATAGAGTACTGTCGTTGTCTGATGATGAGCCATGATTGGGAGAAGACAATCGAGCAATGCCAAAGAACACTTCTGATACAGGTGAACGAATCGTGTCTACTTGGATATTTTCACTGGCAAATCAACGAGAAATTAGTTTAGCCATTTGGATGAAGTGTAACATCAATGAGTTTCACTGCTCGATGCAACGAAAGTTGTCAACTCTTGAACAACGTCATTCCATATCCATTATAAGTGAGAGGTGATTATTCAGAACGACTCTGTCCCGATCCACTTGATTCAAACCGTCTATGCGTTAGCGATACAAGGTGACTTGCACTCCATTGATGGATATTTGAGTGATCTCAATGATGCAATTCAAAGCAACGAATCTTCAAATCATCAATGCCTATTCAAAATTTCACAACTCTTGTCGGGACTAGCTGAAGATGGTTCTTCATGTGCGCAGTTTGCGAGGTAAATGACTCAATCAGTTTTTATTAACCTTGTCCTTATTTATTCGTTGCTGCACGCAGCATTCAAGTTGCAATTACAAAACGAACAAACCGAAACATTTGCTGCATCTCAGTGCTCAAGCAAATAATATTGCGCGACGAGAATGAAAAGTAACGAAACACGAATCTCACCAAATACGGCTGCTTAGAAAACATCTTTACGATTGGAAATTTTTGGTCGTTTGCAGTGCATCAGCCTGGCAAATGATACATACCATTTGGATCAATTGTGTTTCCAAAAGACTAATTTTGAATTCGTTTTGAAGAAATCTTCTGGAGAAGGCAATATCAATCGAGGATCGTGCTGAATATTTAGACGAACACGTGAAAGCACTCATACAAAGTGGTGACTTGAGAACAGCGCATGCTATTGCTCTGAATGCACTCAAAGCAGACGATACCTCAGATATTAGCATTCTTCTCGGTTCACAATTACACTTCTTTTTTTCATGTCTTTACAATTCGTTTTCAGCCAGAAATGTCGGTTTTGAGTATCGCTCATTCCTGGTGTATTTTGAATCATAATTTTGATCGTTTCGATCAAAATGACTTGTATCAACGATAACTCTGATCTTCTGGGAATTTACTCTCTACACTGTGAACATTCTCTGATGTCAGCTTCCGAGAATTAAAAATATGCGGAAGTTTTTCGGCAGAATAAAGCTGAAAGCTGTTATAGGAATGAAATTTGTAAGACGTAACAGAATGATGCATCCGTGTTTGTGCAGGTGTGGTTCGATGTTTTCTGGCCGAAGGACAAATCGCTGACGCAATATCACAGATGGAATTCGTTCTGGGCACGCAACCGAATGCAGCTCAATCTGAGGTTCGTTCTTGAACACTGCATAAACGAGTGGATCGATTGATGAGGATGAGTGAAGAAACGATTGATCACATGCTTAAGCCTTGTTCAGTGAGAAAAGGATCGAGAAATAAGTTTATGCGTTTCAGCTGTACGTTTACCTGATGGCAGTGCTCGATAAAGCACAACGAAAGTCCTTGGAACAGTTCACACAAAACATGCGCAATGCTGTTGATCTACATCTTGCGAAGATACAGGCTTGATTTTAGTATTTTTATAACACAGTGGTTCTTATTGGAGGTGGAGACAGCCGTTTTGGGTAATTTGAAGGTGTCAGAGGGTAATGAAGGAG